GTGATGGGGTAGCCTTTTTGTTGATCTGGGGATCCCATCCTTGCCTTTTAAATGATAGAATCGTCCTTGCACGATCTAAAAAAGATGTAGGATAGACTTCAAGGTCTGTTTCTACACGGTAGAGCTCTCCAGGCACAGACCCGCACCATTGTGTGGTATAGACTCCTTTGAAGCACTCATATCTTTACAGACTTTGTTTCTGAAGTAATTCCAGTCTTTGGCTGAAAAACTAATGTGCGGTGTGCTTTCACAAAGAAAAATTCATCAAGCTCTCTTGTATAAAGATTAACTGTTCCATCCTCAAACAAGAATCCCGACATTCTAAAATCTTCCACCGCCCATTCAAACTGAGGCGCCCATGCCTTTCAGTCCAGAAAATCAGCCAATGTTGTTGGGGGAGTCTTCTTTCTGGGAGCCATACTCATTGCAACAGGATCTATAATTATGCGTCGTTTTGGAGTCGTTATTCCTAATTGATTGATTATTGATGCTGCAAAGATGGCGCTGTTGTTCTGCACGAAGATAGCTCTGTCCGATACATATTTACCCAAAAAATTGTTCAGTCACACTGTTCCACGCTCTCGGTCAGATGTAAGACAAAAAACTAGCCCACTATATATACAACCGATTGCTAAAGCCACTCCCAAACATCCGCTTTTAGAGGATGACACTGGACATCCCATATACACAAACCCCTTCTTTTCACACCCCCATGTCTTTGTTGTTCAACCTTGCTATGACCCCCAATCTTTTTTTATTATTATTATTGTTTTTTATTAATGAATTTTTAATTTTTTAATAAAATTTTATTTTTTTGATTAATTTTATATATATTTTTTATAATTTTTTGATTAATTAATTTTTGATTAATAAGAAATGTATTCACGCGCACGACTGTTACGCGCATCATGAGCGTGCACGTTCACATGCACGCACTTTGCTAACCTTTATTTACTACTCAGCATCAAGTAAACCAAACAGCAGCAGCTCTAACTGTTTATAGAGTAACACCAAAACTGTCAGAGGATTGGGTTACTATGGGGATGGAGACTAAAAACCATGATAACATTTATGTGCTGCTGGCACAAGATTCAGTTTTCACATGTGGAGTTTTATAGAGAGGTAATCACATCAACTTCACCATGGGTTACTGTATCAGTTGTCAAAGGACAACAAACTCTGCTTTAATTGGATTGGATCTATTTTTGAATGTTGTGACTCCCTGAAATCAGAAACAGAAATGCTCGCATTTTTTGAAACGTGAAATAGCTTCTACGCTGCTGTGAAAGGGGGAAAGAATTAAAGGACTTGATGAAAAAAGATATCCTGCATGGATTATTATTTAGAGCATGGGGTCTACAAACATTTCTTGAGAGATGCATGATGATACAGCAAACTATTTCTACAAAGATTTCTATTCCAAATGAATAAACTGCATCCTTTTTTTATCCACTTCTCCAAGGATATGTCCATGTGGTTGAGTCTGAGCATTAGAGCTAGCTAAAATGAGATGACAAAAACAAGATTTGAAGACTTGTAGTCTTTAAATCCTCCAGAATTGCATTATTTATTATAATATAGATTATTGACTAACGTTTAATCTAGCAACATCATCAGGTCAAATTTTTCATTTGTCCTGTTCTTTTTTATTACATTTTTGTCACAGCTGGAGCACCTCATGTGGACATTGATATTCTTAATGAACAAATTAGCCCTCACTTGGTGATCTAAAAGCAGCACAAAGATCTTCAGCTTCCTATTTGGTTTAATCTACTGCCACCAATAACTGCTGATGAACTTGTGAAAGCTGGATCGTCCATCAAACAACAGGCTGAGTGTGGATGATTCAGACACGGCTGGGGAGTTGGTGAATTGCTTTATAGTCAGTGTGGGATATTTGTCCTGATGTTATGTGGTTATGTAAAAACCGATGCCTATCAGGCACCATTGAGCTTAAATAGATCTCAATCACCAACATCTTTCACAATGTATGATATATTGTGTGGTATATACAATGAGCATGGTGGACTAAAGGGTCCAATCCATGGACTGACTGGTTCCTCCATGCACAATAGGAACCAAATTTATTACTAAATACTCAATACTGAAGGCCACATTGACCGCACAGACTGCACGATAAAAAATCAGCTATACAATCTCAAAATTTATTGAAGGATGCACCAATCCAATACGCTGTATTGCTATCTGGGCTTATATCTACCTGATTATTCTGAAGTCGTAATCTATAAGATTCCAGTCCTGGTTGATTTTCCACTTCCACAGTCACTATGGTAAAAGCAAGAGTTATTTAAAGCTGCACGCAACAAACACTCATTGAGAAGCTTTTTCATCAGAAATACAACGGAAGAGCAACTTCTGTATCTGTTAACGGTGCACCCAAACAAACTCAAGGTGTTTAAATAAAGAAGTCAGTTTCATTTCAACTGGGACCTGAATGATTTCATTACCATAAAGTCTTTATCTAACAGTTCACTGTGGCTGTTCCTTCCTGTTACATTAATGCAAAAATAAGACATGATCCGCTGAGGGAAAAGTGCTGAAAATCCCTGTCTAGCACTAACGGCGGTGACAAATACATTGCATTTCATGTGGTTTCATGTGTTCACAATAAAAGCCACCCCTTGTTTTGCCAGTTAAACACCTTTTAATGTGAATCATTAGCAGTAGATTGTTTCGTTTGCATTAGCATTAACCTAAGTCAGCTCTGAGATAGTGTAAAGCAAGATAAAAGTAAAGAGTGGCTGTTTTCAATGAGATAAAATGATGCTGTATTACATACGTGATCATTCTCTGTGAATCTCTAATGCGTGTGAAGTACATTTAACCCAGTGGAGGAATGGTGTACTCAACCACTAACAATGAAAACTTCTTAATGGAGAGATAATTACTCCTTTAGTACATGGCTACTCCAAAAAATTGCCCACCGTGAATAGATTCAAAAATGGGATTTGATTTTATGAAAATCTTGAAGTGGATCGAGTCTCTGCCACAATTTTACTTATATCCATCAGGAAAAAATATAATTGATGCATCCCTACTTAAAATGTAAGAGCACATCTTTGAGGGATTCTTTTATAAATTGAGTTCAGTTATCCATGAAAAAAGACCTCAGGTTGAATCCTTTACGTGCCACTCATATAGCTAGAGAGTTTGATCCATGAAAGGAGGCTTCACTTCAGATAAAATCTATCTGCCCCCTTCCCTACCACCACACAGTTCAGGGAGTGCCACAGGGCTTATCACCCCACCCCCACCCTCAGCTTGAACTATAAATGGGGCTGACATCCAGCTGAAGAGGCTGTGTGGTATCACAGATAAAGCTCCCTGTGTTCTCCTCCTCCCTGATTCCACACTGAAGAAGCCCTTGTCTAAATCAATTACAGTATACAGTTATAGGTGAAGGCTGTTTCAGTGAGTCCCATGGATCTCCTTATTCCCACTCTGGGACATGAGTGTGATACCAAGTAAGGTCTTCCCCACTAATCATGCTGCTATACACAGAAAAGCATCAACATTTAATAGGTTCTGATGCAAATAAAACCCAAACCTATCACAGATTGACTGTACAAACATTGCATTATTTTGACAGTGACTTCTTACAAATAAAATTTGTCTTTTGACTGTAGATTTTATGTGCCACCTCATCACTGTTATAGCGGAATGGTGAGTGTAGTCAGGGTTTAATTAAAATGTTAATTTTTATAAATATTGGAAGCAGCAACTTACTTCTGGTGACTGTATGTTTATAAGAATTGCACTGTGTATTTATTTCCTGAGAGTACAATCATGATACAATACATTTACCAAATCCACCCAACTCCAGTACGCAACACCTGCACATAATACTTATTTATTCCAGCATCCTTTGCACTATGCTCCATCGCACTGTGTACATGTGTACATTTATGCATGTATGTGTATGTTTACCACATCCACCTCCGACATGTACATAATAATAATAATGGTAATAATAATTCACTCCTGCATCCTTTGCCCTCTGCACATTCTCTCAACACATATTTGTGTTCTCTATACTGTAGCCTGTGTTTGATTTTATTATTGAATTATTGTATAAGTAAGCACATCGTGAGCAATGGACAATCCAGAGTCAAATTCCTTGTATGTGTACACATACCTGGCAAATAATGCTGATTCTGATTCTGATTACATTGCTGGTCTCCCATACCCACAGTATAGGAGACTAATAGCTAGTTTTGTAAAAAAAAAATAAAAATAAAAATAAAACAATAAAATTGCTCTTTTCTTGACCTGAATTTGCTATATTAGTGCAAATATAATACGAGCTAGAAAATGATCATTATTAAGTGTGAATAGCTATGGGAACTGAAGATTCTGTAATCATGTTTGATTCCACCATTTCAATACAGGTTTAAGATGTATGTTTACTTCCAACAAAAAAAATCACACACATTTCCCCAATTTAGATCCCTGTATGCTGGAAATAAACAACTAATACTGACAAACAGTAGTGATTATGTTTCCTAATATGAGGTCTTTGTGCTCAGGCTGTGCAGAGTACAGGGAAATGGTTGTGTAGCTTCCCAAATGTTTTTTCTTCACATATTGTAACCTCTAAGCAAACATGTTAAGTTGCCAATCTCCATGCACACGTTGCCACATCAAAATATGCATTGGCTGGAACAAAGGACAAAGTTAATGTGTCTTAATTTTTACAGCAATTATTTCTGTAAAACGTACCTATCCATCCTAGGGAAATTTCCTATAAAGTTGTTCATCACTTTCTGGACGATATCATCCCACTTCCAACCTCCTTCTGTCCTCCTCTTTCTCCTCCTCACTCATGGCCTGTTATCAGCATCAGGTAACCAGACTTAATATGCTTCAGTAGCATATTGTTGCTATGCTGTTTCTGTGTGCTGCCTCAATGTCCTCATCTGTCAGTAATCACTCCCCCAATTTTCCCTCTTCTGTCTCTACCTTGCTATGCTCTTCCTCAGGTAACAGGTTCTCCTACTGCCACGCCTGCATGCTGGTTGCTGGTGTCTGGTGCTACGCTGGAGTTTTTGCTGTAGGTCCCCTGTCAGGCTGGGGAGAGTATGGGGCAGAGCCTTACGGGACAGCGTGCTGCATCAACTGGCATGCTCCCAGCCACAACTCCGCAGCTATGAGCTACATCGTCTGCCTCTTCTTCTTCTGCTACATTGTGCCCTGCATTGTAATTTTTCTGTCCTACATATTCATCCTGCTGACCGTCCGGGGCTCCCGCCAGGCTGTTCAGCAGCATATGTCACCGCAGAACAAGATCACAAATGCGCATGCACTTATCGTTAAGGTAAATGCATAGGTTCACATGCTGAGATATTATAAAGGTAAATATGTGTTTACATGAAAATTTTATTTTGTCTCTTTTCAGCTTTCTGTGGCAGTTTGCATAGGTTTCCTGACAGCATGGAGTCCATATGCCATTGTGTCCATGTGGGCAGGATTTGGTAACCCAGAAGCTGTACCACCTATGGCTTTTGCTTTGGCAGCTATCTTTGCCAAGTCCTCCACCCTTTACAACCCTATTGTCTATCTGGTCTTCAAGCCCAACTTCCGCAAGTCCCTGTGTCGGGATGTGGCCCAGTGCAGAAGGACACTCTGTGGATGTCTGTGTCAGCACAACTCTACACAGAAGGGAACTTGCCGGCAATCCCATCATGAAGAAGAGTGCGACTCCACAAGATTGTCAAATGGACTACCAGAGAACCACGGGACCTGCAGACACTGTCCTCACCGTGAAAGAGTCACTGGTACCAGAGAAAACATTACAGACTACAGCCCCCAGCAGACTGCCAGGATACTTAAAGGATCGCAACATAGTGAGGTGGCTGTCAGTCAGCTCTCCAATGAGTTGCAGAGTGACTTCCTCTAGAGACACAAACACAGCCGCACAGGAAAAAAGATAGCAAGAATGAAGGTTGAAAGATACTAATTGCAAGTTGGGGAAAAAGGGAAAACATAATTTAAAAAAAGATTAAGATTAATGGAAGTTAAAAAAAAAGAACTCTGAAGGTCAAAATTAAAAAACTATGAATTCCTCATGCCTCAAATATGTGACACTGCCAAACAAATCAACAAAAAAACATTTGAAGCCAACACAGGAGAATAAACAACAACATACAACCACAGATGTGATGATCAATATTTCATCAAGTCAAATTAACACATTAAGTCAAATTAACACAACACTAGCTGGTCACTTTGACTGATCAATAATAAGCAAACAAGACTGAAATGCAAATCAATTCAAGGTGGATTTAGTGAAAGGAGCAGATTTTGAAACTTCTACCCACTAAACCAGGGGTTGGCTAATAAGTTTGGCATCGAGCAAGATTTTTTTCAAGCCGTTACATGGTGGGCCAGAACATAGTCAAATTATTTCAAACCCTTAGACACTCATGTGCACACTTAGCTTAGTTGGTAGAGCGCGGGTCTCTCGTTGGAAGAGTTGTATGATCGATCCCAACATCCTGTGGGTTATTTTTTCTCCGCTGTTAAACAAATTGATTATAAGGACACTTTTGCACATGCTCACAATAAAGCATGTGCTGCAGTGTGTGTGGACTCTTACTTTAATTTCCCTGAGGAAATTCAGGGGAATCCAATCACACGTTTACTGATGGCTTTTTCAGAGGTGTCAAGCAAGCCAGAGACTCTTTTAAATGTCCTTCAGAACCTTTCAAAGTAAAAGCTCTCAATAAAGTCAACATGAAGCATTGCTGCCAAAACATTCTCATGCTTTTATTTTGTAGGCACAATCACTTAAGAGGGAGTGATTTTGTGAGTAACTGTTGCTATCATGACTGAGATCTATTATAGCACCAGCCGCTATCAATTTATTTATTTTTTATTTTTCTGCTATCATAGCAATCTGGCTGTGGGCCAGATATTATTGCTGGTGGGCCAGTTCTGGCCCGCAGGCCACCTATTGCCAACCACTGCCCTAAACCAACTTTTATGTATTTATTTCAAGTTCTGTTTCAGTTTGATTTGATAGGTATTTATTTATGCATGCTTGTTGTTATCTAAGAGGAAAATAGTTCTGTCTCTTCTTTGCTGAGAATACATTATGGTTTAAAAGCCTCAGCTAATTTAAATAAAATGTATCAGCCTTTACACAGGTCTAGATTATAGGTCCACTAGGAGGTAAAGAACAAAGCACCAAAGAAAAGATTTGGCCTAGTAAGCCCAGTGTGATGTGTAAAAATGAACATTGACTCCCTACAATTTACCCAGGGGTTGGCATATTGATTCCTCTGCAAAGAGGAGTTGCCAATGTCAATTTTGTCTAATCAGCTGTGTCCAAGACAGCAGGCATGACTGAATTAAAAAAGCAGAAGAATTGGGGGCAGGACCAAATTTACAACACTCAGTAAGCTCTAATATCTCTCAACATACACTATGTAGAGACTTTGTTTAAGGATGTAAAATAAGCTAAGTGTTCAAAAAAACAGACAGCTGTCCATTATCGATGTGGTGTTTTCACACATTGGCATCTTTCACCAGTATGATAAAATATGCATCCTTTGTCAGACTACTCTTTAGCAGTTGTTACCAGATAGTGAGAGAAAGAAAAAATCTGGTGGTTTATTTATACTGTATGTGTGTGTATTTTTCTAATGTGCCTCTATGAGTGTGCGCTTGGGCGGAAGTACAAGTGTACAGCTCCTGAGAGATGAGAACACTGTAACAACAAATTCTTTTGGGCCTGACACACAAACAACAAAACAACACTGAAATGGCCATGTTAATGATGTTCCTCAAGCCATTATAAAAAAGGGCAGTAATTAACTTCTATGCATGGATATAGTCCACTTGCCTTTAGTGCTCTACTTGCCTCTTGCAAAAGAGAGGGCCTGTTGTTCAATAAAAGGGTTTGCAACATGAGAGACACAAGGCTTTGCATCAGCACCTGCCAACATTATTCTAATAAAAAATGCCCAGCGAGCATAGTTGAGCACAGTGTTTGTCCAACAAGCAGTTTTGTACTTTCCCCTGGCAGCATAGGTCATCAAATGGAAGCATGGACAAGATTAATTATATCTGCTAGAGTGTGTGTTGTGTTTGACTGGCGTGACTTTCATGCCATGTCATTGTTCATTTCTCTACCATGGCGAGACGGAAGATTGTAGTTCTGTGCAGTTTTCACAGAATACCTGACTATGAAAGCAAATAATTTTGTCATGAAATAATGTGCTTAGTAAGTATTGCAAAACAACCATGTCAGCATTTGATCAGTAATGTGTTCTGCTGTTCGCTGCACTCCTTGAATTACTGCTCTGCCATTGGTAGGTACTGCTTCTTGAAGAAATTGATACTAAACCACCATTACCATGTGAACTAATAGCCTACTTGGTTGTTTTGACACAACCCTTAGCCCTGGGGAAAACCTTCTTGTTAGCTCAGGTCTTTCAGCTCTGTTAGCTGTGGGCTTAGGCCATGTTTAGTCCATCGTTGGCACAGCATGAAAAAATGCAACCTCCCTCATACATTTCATTGAGGTCACTGCGTTGATGCAAAGGAAGCTATCCATATTGAACGATTCAGCAAAAACCTGCTCATTTTGTGTGTTTTACATTCGATGCCAAAATTTTCAAAATTCCCACTTTCTTCAATATCTGGTAACTACGGCATGATTGAGATTAGGGTTATGGTTAGGACAAATAAACTACCTGAACATGACTCACCAATGCATCCCAATGCATTGTTAACTGTAGTGAATGCCTGGTGACAGTTGTTTCACACTCTGAATGTGGGCTATCCCCTCCAAAACCTTAGCGCAGGCTATAATAAATCTCAATCTGTAGAATAGTTATGCCCAACTTTTCATGATTATTCCTAAAAAAACAGATATGATTATTAGACTGAATCAAGGTTTGAATAAAAACAATGAAACATTTGTTGTCCAATCAAATCAGTCAAAGTGATATGCTATGAGCTTGCTGATATTATTAACCTAGGGCTGTGATGTTCAGGTGTGGGTCCTTAACCTGAGGCTAGCTGCGAGATGAGGTTTAGGAAGCCCCAGGCTTTCTGTAGCCTGAGTTGATTTCAGCCCTCAGCTGACACATGTCAGAGCCTTACTGCTGTAAAAAGCACTATTTGCAAAGACAAAAAAGCCTTTTCACTGACGTATACAGTTGATCATTCAAATGAGGATGTTAGAGACCATACTGTTATCGTCATCAATTGTATACCGTAACTGCATGGATGTACAGGGTAGCAGCACATTACTGTTTCTTGCTCTATAACCTCCAAGGTGAACACATTGGTGATAAGTAGCCTACTAACTGTGTATGGTACAATTGTTTCCCTGGAAAAACTATGCGATTGTACTTACTACTCCGTTGTGTGAAAGATGTTGCTGGTTTTATGCTGGCTACATAGGGTTTAGTAGAAAGAGGTTGTAAAAGCTGAAGGATCCGTGAAATGCTAGAGGAATTTTCTGTGTCATGCTGGATCCAAAGGTTACAGTCACCTTTAAACTCATGGTCCAAGCCAAAATGTTGTTTTGGACAACTAGTATTTTTCCACAGATATGCAGGTAACCACATACATATCAAAGACTTGGCTTCCAGTCCTGTGTTTGGATGGGCTTAGTTTGGCCCATACTCTTGGGCAAAGATGGACGTACAAACCAGAAAAACACAGCTGTGAAAATCTGATTCTGATGTCTCTTTTTTCTATTCTGTTCTACTCAAGGAACAAATACTGCAAGAACCTGGGTGTATATTCTGCATCACTAGTTGCTTTTCCCACATGGGTCATCTCAATATCTAGGTCATATATCAGATGTCAGGGATTATGTAAACATTGGTTTGCATTTATGTATAATATGTGTATGTACAGATGCTAGATTTAATTCATATATTATCATGAAAATCAGCCTATATGTTTAAATAGGGGATGGAGAAACTCCTTGTCTTGAAATGGGGGTGATGGGTTTTATGTTTATGTTATTTCAGCTTCTGACTTTGAAAGTGTTTCCATAAATGTTTCTTATTTTTCTTATTATGAGGTTTTAGTGCAAAACAGCTTCCAGGCTTGTGGCTTCCCTCACTACAGATGGAATCCATTTACCTTTAGCTCCTTTAAAAGCTACTTGAGAAAAGTATAGACTTAGCTGAACGTTTATATAGTACTAATAGCAAGATCACTACTATAACACAGCCATAAGCCATTACAGTTTACCATTATTAATTAAGATTAATTTCCCACCATGGTGTTGTTGGGTCCCATAGAGACACAATAATCCAAGTGGGATATTTAATCTTATGATGTTATTGTATATGCAGCTTCTATGAAGGTGACTGTTTCTACCTCCCAATTAATCATGGAATGTATTTGTTGCTCTTGCTGAGTTTGAATTGGAGCAAACAGTATTTAATATTAACAAACTCAAGTAGCAGAAGTGTTTGATGTGATTACAGCTGCTTGGATGAGCAGTTTACTGCGAGCAAGCTTAATTAAAGTGCTGATATGTCAGAAATGTGCATGAAATAGCTCGGAGTGGATGCAATTATCATTTGTCCTTGCATCAAGAAATCCTGTCTTGTTACCAATGTAAGGCATCATATCATCGCTTTTGTTAAACATGCTCATCTTAACTCTCTTTACTTTCTGAATTTTACCTGTAAAGAAGCTGCCTGGAAACAAGACAAAAACTCTGTTAATCCCATTATAGACGTGCAACTCTGAAATTAGGAGAAATTCCATGTGCAGAATTTATAATGATTTATAGTGCACTTATTGAACTCTCATAGCCTACACTGGGTGTGAATGATGTGATCATTCTTATACATACTGTTCTCTATATGTTTGTGCTAATCTGCTGTAAATAAAGTTATATGCGATCAGGAGGATGCAACTAGAATCCAAATTTTCCGACTGCAGCTAGAGAGTCGGAAGTCGGTATATAAATTCTGATTTTCATTTTGCAACACCCCAGTTTCTAAGACACAAACAAGGCTGAATGTGATGTGTTGTATACTTTATGTATGTTAATGTATGGGGGAAAATCTATATATCTATATTGGTTTTGGAATGACTATCATTGATGTCAGACACATTGTGAGAAATGTTTACATCTTTTTTTTTGGGGGGGGGACTTAAAAAAATATTGAGGATGGTATGAAAAGTATTTAATACATCTATCCAAGGGCATGTTATTTGTTTTTGGGTAAGATGGAATGATAAATAAATATAATTCAGGATACAATTAATGAGAATATACCTACTTTTTATGTTTTATTTCTTGATTTGTTGTTAACAGTTACAGTAGAGCATGAAGAAACAATGTGTGTTCTTGAAGAGCCACATCACAGCTAACCCCAACACAACAAGAGTTTACAGCCATGCTAACGTCTCGGGTTACGTATGTAACCCTTGTTCCCCGAGAAGGGGAACGAGATACTGCGTCGGTGACGACACTATGGGAACGCCTCTGGGCGTGGCAGGGGCTGAAATCATGAATGAAACTACTCCAATCCTATTGCCTTTGCTAGAACGGTAGCGTGTGACGGCGTAACTGGAGGCGTATATAAGCACGCCGGCACACCGGACACATTAGC